GTACCTTGACGGCTGGAAGGTTTCCCTTCCAGCTGGCCATTGCATGTACCTCGCCGGCTGGAAGGAAACCCTTCCAGTCTACAAGGTACATGCCTCGCCGACTGGAAGGACCTTGCCGGCTGGAAGGAAACTCTTCCAGCCGGCCATTGGTCTCGGGTATCCCAGGGGATACCCGGATATCCGCCGGGATTTGGGGGGGAAAGGACATCCGCACCCAAATCCGCATCCCCTGGCGGGTATCCGCTGGACCTGGCGGATATCCGCCAGCGGATAGCGGATATCCGCAGCGGATTATCCCCGCCCATCTCTAGTTGTTGTCTCCTCAGTGTATTATTCATCAGTCACAGTTTAGTACCACTCAATCAAGGATACACAATCTTTACAGAACCTTACCAAACACCAATAACAACTAAACTCATTTCTCAGCATCACACAAACTCATTCCTGGACTTACCCTATCACTTGATTAAAACTTGCCAAGCTGAGCTTGGTGGGTCTTGTTATCTGATATTATAGAAGGGCAGAGCTTGCACCTCCATCATCCCCTTCTCCAGTCAGCAAAAAGGGTCTTACAACCACTTTTTGAGTCTTACACCGGGTACCTCCTCACTTCCCTAACATAGGGTGGATTGGGGGCTGCATATTTACCAATAAATATGAAAAAAATGACTACACCACAGGTCGATATTTTTCATTTGACCACGTTGGCTTGGCTGCAGAGTCAGAAACAGGGCAGACTTGACCTGTCTGCCCTGTATGTGACAGCAGGGACAGGCCGACACCAAGGATGGGTCAGCCAAACATAATTCTGACCCATCTGACCCAAGTGTCAAGCCAACACTCCTGACCTATGGTGTTGGCATGACACTTGGGTAGAACAGGGAGCCACGGCTGACCCAGCCGACACAATATGGCCCTGATGAGCAGGCCAATGATGTCGGCCAGTTGAGCCAGCCTGATATTATCGTCAGCTTGACCAGCAGTCAAGCTACGGTCTAACACACACAACCAGCCCACAAAGACTTGTTTCAAGGAGCAAGCCAACAACGTTGGCTGGTTGAGCCTTTATCAAACGTTGGGTTTGAGTCGGCTTAACCAAGGGTGGTCAGCCTGACCATCAAATCAATTGAAAACACTTATTGATGAAGTGTTCTACACCTCTTTCCATGCATGAAAGAGGCTACACAGGACAAAAAAGTTTGAAAAAAAAGTTTCAAAAAATGGACTTAGAAAAAAAAAAAAAGGAAAGACTCACCGAAGATACCAGGAAACAAAATAAAACCTGATTTATAGCCAACAAAATTGCTCAGATTGCATGAGTTATGGCTGTTGGTGCAATAGTGATCAAGAGGGGCAGCTGGCTCATATGGTGAGAGCCAGATCAAGAGTTCGAGCCTGGGGTGTGGGTTCTTTTTTGGAATGCTACCATCAGAAGATCAGCTGACGTCGGCTTCAACGCAAGCCTTCTGTCAGAAGATTGGCCGACGGCGGGCTTTGACGCAAGCCTTTTGTCAAAAGATCAGCCAACAGCGGGCCTTTACGCAAAGCCAATGTTGGAAGATATGCCAACAGCGGCTTCCGATACATTCCACTATGAAACATTGGGTTGGCCACCAAAGTTTTTTGGTGGGGTTGGGGGGAGGGGGGTTGGGCCGACAAAATTTTTTATGTTGGCACCCAGTTGACCAAAGTTTGTGGTGTACACTTTCAACAGTACTTCATGACCAGTACTGGATGTGCAGTATTTTCTCCTTTTTTTGTTAAAATAGTGCAAAGAAGTGAAAAAAAAAACGGCACATCCAGTTTCATTTTATGGCATATCCAGTACGGGAGATGAAGTAATGTTGAGAGAGCTAGTGGAACCAAGTGAGAAAGAGAGGTTAGGTACTGCCAGTACCTGCCAAAAGGACCAGTGGAACCTGCTGGACAGTGCCAGGTGTGGTACTCAGTACCTATTTTCTTGAAAAATTGAACAGGTACCCAAGTACATACAAACAAACAATCTATAAACAGGAATATGGTGTGTAAAAGAACAAACAATCTATAAACAGGAAACAAGAATATGTCATCAATCTATGTCCTGTTCAACACCGGCAACCAACCTCTGTGAATCCAACCACCTCCACGGCGGAGTCAAGCATGATTATCCATCATCATGTCATGGCAGCTCTTTCCTCTCCCCAAGGCATCCAAGAATACACCCCCTCTTATCAACGGTGGGCCAGTTACACTAACCGTAGTGTTAGTGTAGCAGAATTCTGCTAAACTTTAGCATAGCATAGCAGAATTCCGCCACATCTTGCACTAGCACTACGCGCACAGGCCCCAAAAAAGGGCCCACTACGCTGTGTAGCGGTTTTTTGGCCCTGTAGCGCTGTTAGCGGCCTGTAGCGCAGCGTAGCATAGCATAAATCCGCTAAAAAACCACTAACACTACATTTTCTTGGCGCAAAAAAGGCACCACTACGCTACGCTTTTTGGGCCAAAAGCGTAGCATAGCGTAGTGGCCCACCGCTGCTCTTATCCTCTCCATAAAACTAATAGAAAGTGTACCCATATCGTGTAGTTATGTATAATTCATTAAAAGTCAAACA